GGGGGGGGGGGGGAGACGCACCGAGAATGCGAGGCAAATGCCAGTATATTTCATTTCCGTCTTATGTCACACACGGAAGTACAATGGTACCTACACACGCAGGGCTTTCAAAACGAATCTACTTCCGGAATGAGACGCCGCTGAGTTACGAGCATAACACCGAGCTTTTCGAGTGTCAATAAAAGCACATGCAGGAGCCACACACAGAGAAAAAAGAGTCCAGGTCAAAGCAGAGAAACAGGGAGCGAAGAAAAAGGGTAAAATAGAAAAAAAAGTTGAATCGACGAACTCAGACCAACCCTTTGAAGTTAGCGACTTGCATTTCCTGGCGTCCATAATGACGTACACTCTGCTTCTCTCTCTCTCTCTCTCTCTCTCTCTCTCTCTCTCTCTCTCTCTCTCCTTTTCTTCAGGATTACATACCTTATATCTATCTAAAATACCACAGTAAGTAGTACTGTATTATTGAGCTGTGGCGAGTCCATCTCCATCGTCAGAGGAACCCTTGAAACTGCACTCGAATATTTGGCCATATAGCGTTATGGTATAAGACGACGAAATGGCGGAGGTGACGTGTGTTGCAGAACGCGGAGGCGAGTCAGGGTGCAATTCAAGCTGTAGATCTATAGACAATACGGTCCGAGGGTAAACGAGTAACGGAAGTCGTGAGCTCGCGAGATACGGATAAGGGTGTCCAACATGGGGTTGCACCCAGCAGGAATAGCCGAAAGGCTTGTTCAGCAATATCGACTGGAAAGGAAACTAATGGGGAGCCGCCGGGTTTCCTAGTTTCCCCAGCTCCGAGGGCCGATAACACAACAGACTTTCCCGTAAAGAGCGAGTTTTCAACGGAACCACTACCGTCGGATCTGTCGAGCGGTCGATGGCAAACGTGAGATGCTCAACCTCACATGACTCGTCCAAATTACATCCACGGAATAACGAGACACTTTCAAGTTAAAAGACTTCGAATTATCTGGGGAAATGGTTATGCCAATTCTACAGTTTAATTCTTCTAGTTGTCGGGACTTTCTGCGACCCCTATACTATTGGCACCCCTCTTTATCCCTGTTCCCCTTCTCCCTTTCTCTTTCCACCTAAAATCTTTCTCTGGCTACCCTCTGTCGCTATCCACCAACCACCCCGGTTCCGCTCTGCCATCCTCTAATTGCAAACGAGAAAGCTCTCAACCCTCTTCCACTTGACACGGAACATTAATTTCAAAATATTACCGGGACGAACGATACATTCGGGAAACCGCAATTAAACATTATTGAACTCGGTGACTCTCGTCAGATATCATGCGCTACCTGCAGGCATATTCAACATTTGCACATCAAGAAAATAAAAAATCCAGTCAGGACATTTTCACGAAAGGAATTCATTTTTTGGACATTCTTCAAAATAGACTATACTTGAACCTCTATACTCTATGTGCTATCTGCTGTTAAAATATGAGAGACAACAAGCAGGCATCGCCGCTCTCTCAACGTACGTCCATTCTCTGTCGCATGTGTTTCTATTTCAGAGGAATCTGGGAAAGGGTAGATCGTTTGGCAACTGTATCAAAATTTTTGCACGTCTGCACTTGTAATATGGATATGTGCGGACGAATGCCAGTGGCTTTTTAGGCGGTTCAAGAGTGGAAATGCGCATGGCGTTATATTTGGTATTGAAAATAATACAGTGGGACACTGGGATAAATATTGAGCGAAACCATGCGCTCGTGCACAGCGACGGAGAAAAATAAGAGCAGAGGAAAAATGCAGGGGGCGAAGCGGTGGGGACGATAGAGAATTGGGTCGAAAAGGCTAGAGGTTGAAATTGACACAGGGTGATACTGGAACACTGGTAGGAGATATATTCTCTCTCTCTCTCTCTCTCTCTCTCTCTCTGTCTCTCTCTCTCGTGCGCGCGCACTTTTCGTGTGTCCGCCCCTGGCTCACCAGCAACCCTTGTGCCCCCACTCCCACGAACTCCTGATATGTCACCCCTTTCGTTGTTCTGGAACGTACAAGATAAATTAACGTAGAACAATGATAATTAGCTAATTATCAATATCCCATGGAGCATCCAGCCGTCAGCCTGTTCTATTACGCCCCCCGCCCCCCCCCCCCCCCCCCCCCCCCCCCCCCCCCCCCCCCCCCCCCCCCCCCCCCCCCCCCCCCCCCCCCCCCCCCCCCCCCCCCCCCCCCCCCCCCCCCCCCCCCCCCCCCCCCCCCCCCCCCCCCCCCCCCCCCCCCCCCCCCCCCCCCCCCCCCCCCCCCCCCCCCCCCCCCCCCCCCCCCCCCCCCCCCCCCCCCCCCCCCCCCCCCCCCCCCCCCCCCCCCCCCCCCCCCCCCCCCCCCCCCCCCCCCCCCCCCCCCCCCCCCCCCCCCCCCCCCCCCCCCCCCCCCCCCCCCCTCCGCAACCCCCTTGAGTATCGTCAGCAACACCGCCACTACCACGCACCACTATTCACCACTTCCTGCTAGCACTGTCGCTGCTCTACTGTTGGCTGTTCCATCGGCACCTCTAGCGAATACTCTTGATAGGCGACAAAACTTTTGCTCTGTATGGCGAAATGCCGCCGTTGACATAATTAATTATATATCGAGGAAGGAAGCTGTGGTCTGGCGAACGGTTGATATTACCTGCACTCGTCCTACGTGCCCAGTTGCGATCTACTCTACCTCCTTTTCGTCTTCTCCTTTGTCTCCTACGTATCAGCTATACTATACTATATTATACACATCTTCTACGGACCTATACTGCCTATACTGCCTATAGTGCCTATACTGCCTGTACTGCCTGTACTGCCTGTACTGCCTGTACTGCCTGTACTACTAATGTACTGCTATCCACCCCTGCGTCGTTCCTACTCTACGCTCCTCCGCACTTCTACAACTCTACACGAGCACAATTGTTGAGGCAGCAGCGTGTACAATTGTACATACATACAAGATGATATGACTGCGCACAGGGAAGACGAGTACTTTGTCCTTTAGCGTCCTTAAGTTTTACAGCGCAATGTGAGAGAACGCTAGGAAAAATAATTGTCTGATCCTTAAGAACAGATTATTCTCCATAGTCTTCCATGTACCTCCTCTCTCTACCTCACCCTTTGGCCGTTTTGTCCTTGCTCGTTATTCTTCTAGCCTCTTTTCTTTTCTTCCATTGTATGGCTGGGTGTTCTTGGAGGAAGTCTGTGCGCACACGCAGACGTGTGAGCAAATGTCTTTCTGCTCGACCCCGGTAGTTGCTCTAAATATGTAGGAGCACTTTTTAAAGAATTAACGGGTTAATGATTCTGAATATTGTTCCTCCAGTTTCACACAATAATTAGAATATTGAGAAAATTTGGAAGGTTCAGCGAGACTATTTAATCGATTTAATTAGCGAAACAAGTTAGCCTACAAAGAATATTTGCATTTTTCCCAGAGACGTTCCGCTTCAAAAGACTTTTGTCAAGACATGCGAGATTGCGAGAGTCGGGGACATTTTTGCACAAAATTTACGAAACTCGAGTGTCATTTGGTCACACGTAAGGGCGGTCCACTACCATTTGATGAACTTCGTGAGAGAGTGAAGGAGTAAGAGAGAAAGAGAGAGAGATTCCCCTATGTGAAGCATGTGGGCACTATGAAACGTCATCGGCCTATATTTTCACGGTAGCCAGAAGCAAGAATTCCTGAAGACGTGAAATTCGAAGCTCCTTCACAGGGAAAGCTGTATGTAGAGAATGGAAGAAAAAAGAGCGGCTTCATCCTTATTCCAGGAAAACCGCTCGAGCGGCGTGCGACGGGGCGGCGCACAAAACGCGTCACGACGCAAAGTGCTCGTAATATTTTGACGTCGCGCGACGTTGCATCATAATATGTATATGCAAGTGTCAGTGAACGGGGTCACATCTAACGACACCGTAGTCCAGAGATCCGCCACACAATGCATCTGCCCATATATGGGCGAGTATATATATACATACGTTATACATATATGTATGAGTACAGGTATTATAAAGTGAAAAGCTATTAACAGACCATTTTGCTGGAATAAAATTCTGAAAAATATTTACCCATGTGCTCATTACTCTTTCTCTATTTTATTTCTTCTCTCTTGCATATCACTGTTTAATAAACACTTTGCCGTCCAATTTCGATTTCCACTTGTCTCGTTTCATAGCAATTCTTGCCGGGTTGTGTTTTTTCTTGGAGCGTCGCGGCGCACTCTTCACCCCAGCGTCGTCGTACACGGATCACGCGGAGAACCAGCCTTAATCGCGACTTTACGTGTCGCGTTCTGTCGGTTTCTTCATTCTCTCTCTCTCTCTCTCTCTCTCTCTCTCTCTCTCTCTCTCTCTCCTCCTCCTTTCTTAATTCTTTTTTCTAGCAAAGAAAAAACTTATTATTCTCAGCGCAATGATGCCTATTCTCCAGTTTGTCCAGTGTATCACACCATATTGCGTCGGAAAATTCGCTGCAAACTTTTCGTCTAATCCACTTTAGGCCTCTCTTAATCTATGAATACCGCCCTTCTCCAGTTTTTAAGGACCGAGAATAAAGTTACGTCAAGATATATTCTTTCACGAGGATTTTCCTCGAAGCCTATAACGGAGTATCCGAAAAAGAGGATTGTGGCAAGTTTCCCAAAATTGTCAAAATTGAAGTTCAGTTCTGCACGAAGATTTTGCCTCTGTAGCTCGTAAGCTCGTAGGTCCTTGTGGCAGTCAGGCACACTCCGACAGATATTCTACTAATTGAACAGCTACGTACCTAATAAGTATCCGTGAGGCGAATCACTTTTAATTAGGACATTTATCAAAAGATTGTTATAATAATGCGAGGCTCTGAACATGCCGATCACAGCTTTATGGTTTACACACGCCCGGCCAACTCTTATTGTTACACTTTCATCAAGCGTTTCGTCTAACGGTAGTGCCTTCGTCTCTTGCATTCATTATAAATGCTATATATAGATAGAAAAATGTATCCAAGTCCTGTAATGTGCGCAACCACTTTGCTGTTTTGCTGTTTTGCTAGTTTACATAAAACGAGAGAATCTTCGTACCGCTTGCAAGTACCACTGATAGTCCATCGAACGACGCACTGATGCTATTGAATCCTTGTATTTACGTATATTCCTCTTTCGTGAAATTTCCACTCGCGATCGATCACCCACGAGACATCCACAGTGCCTTAATTAATAACGAGAATCGTAGAAAGCGAAAGAAAACGTGAGGTGGTTAGACTTTCATCAGGATTGTCGATATCGTAGACTCATTTACGTATTTCTATTTGATGTTCCGTCCTGTATTTATCAAGCGTCTAAGCATACATATCCAATTACGGAAACAACGCGAATTCCCGATTTAAACAAATTACGGCATTCAGTCTCGATTTCTCAGCCGGTAGCGTAGCCGGTAGCGAGCGTTCGGAATGTATCTCTGCCAGGGATGTAATTGCAAGTTTGATTGGAGGTTTAATGGTGGGTTGGCAGCGGCAGCCCTGAAGGCTCGAGACTGTTCGGCACGCGAGACCGCCGGCCGACTGAGGCTCGATTCAACCGACGAACGTCCCTAACCCCAAACTCTGCTCGTCTATCCCGAACGAATCGTCGTTCTCCGTATACCCACTACTACCACCTACTACCACCTACTACCACCTACTACCACCTACAACGACCTACAACGACCTACTACCTACGCTATGCTTACCAGCCACCCCCTCCAGCCGTTCCCCGAGCGACTCGCTCGATGCGCATGCGTCAGGTGAGTTCCGAACTGGACTACTCGCTCTCGAGTATTTGCTGCTACTGCTACTCTTCACTCTGATGAAATACTATTGCGACACTGCTAGACCAGAAGCTAGAAGCTAGAAGCTACAAAATTACAAATGAGAAATTCCCAGGTGGGAACCTGGTTTCTATCGAGAGCGAGAGGAGCATGCAACATCAAAGTACACGCACAACTGCTACGTCCGTACATTATATGTATGTGTTCCTATAGTCGAATCACGAAATAAAACTCCGATTTTCACAGATCAAGCACAAGGAATTTTCTAGATTCTAATGCGCGCTGTTTATTAACGAAAATAAATACGTTATTCTATTCAGGATGTGAGATAGATCTCATGTTAATCATCTTAAGATCTGAAGTATGAAATCTGCAATGGTCTCTGTGCTTGAAAAAGTGAGGGATACGAGAATGGGTACGATTAATAAGTATGTCGTCAGCTGTGTTGTCCCCGTCGTCAGCGACTTGCTTTTTAAAGCAAAAAAAGTCAAAATTTGGAAAATTTTATACAAATTCTAAATTCCGTATATTTGATGCATCACAGAATTCAATAAAAACCTTCTGAAATCTTTTCACGGCAGTACAGCTTTATATGTTCGAGAATCTTAAGGGTTGCTGGACAAAGTTGAAGAGGTCACAAGGTGAAAAGATCGAAAAGAAGGAAGCGTCACAATTCTCGAGGATAAGAGGAAATTAACTCGCGAGATCGGCTTCAGGTGCACGTAATTAGAATAATGGAGAAATATATGAGTATATTCTGAGTGCATATCTGTCGAGTAGTAGCTATAAGAATTCAAGGATGGAAATGACGATTCAAGCGAGCTGGACAAGACTCATTGAAATTCCAGGTTTTTATATATCATTGAATTTCCGAACGTCCGCAGTAATTTAATTGGGTGTTGTAATTAATATTCCTGCGGACGCCTCTCTCCCTTCTCTTTTATAAGGGTTCAAGTTTCTTCCACGATACTCCCTAAGATTGGCGAATCTCTCAAGAGAGACAAATAAATTGGGACCCTTAACTCCGATATGCTGAACACAGCGAATAACCAGAGACTAACTGATTCGATATGGTGCAAAGTGACTGTGTGCGTGGGAGCGTTCACGCGAAAGTGTGTTTGTGAGTGGAGAACTTTTCCGATCGGCGTTAACCTACTGAAATCTTGTCAAATAAAACACAGAGTTTAACTATCAATGAGATTGGCTAAATCTCGCAAGAAAATCCACGAGCGTAGAGTCATAAACGAACGGTCGTATACAAGGTATAGAAGAAATGTCCAATTTCCAATGACCTGTCCGTTTGATTTCTATGATAGAACCATAGAACCCACCCCAAGAAACAAATAAGATGGAATATATTACATGATAATAATAAATCGTATACGAATTACATATAAACTTATATATGATTTATATGTAAATTAAAAATGTATATATTTCACAATAGTCAGATAAATAATCTGTGTCAAATGGACATATAATATAATCTGTATATACATATAACTGCAGTTGATACGTTTGTACCGAATAAACGTATACAGGTATATTCTCTTAAAAGTATAGATATGAAGCAAGAGTCATGGGGAATCAATCACGGCGAAACTACCCGCGGGCGAAGAACCGTTTTCCTCAGAGGCTGCTACCAGCGAGGGATGAAAAATCGGGGTCCGACTTCTTGAAGTTCCACCCTGGCAGAGAAGTTGCCGTGAGCGGTGGTACGATACTAATATTGGAATCTGAGGTAATCTTCAAGATCTTTTATGGGATATAGAACCAAAATGGACAAGGGGGCAATCGATCTTCGTAAAGTTATCATCCGGAGCAGCCCTTTCCCAACTTTGATAGAAAGAAATTCCTCAGTAATATTAACAATAACGATAATCGAGATACGCATAGTGCTGTAGCCACGATCCGGTTAGTCTCGGTCAAATTGCCAATATTATCAGTTATCGGATTATTACGGCAAATTGTTCGGGTTTGCCTTTACCAACTAGCCTACATATTGCACAGAGCCCTCTGTGCCAGCCTGACTCTCACCCTCGGCTGATTGCGAACGAGCAGCCACGTACAACGTACAACAACCCTCCTGAACCTACGGAACCTCGCAAACCCTACGAACCCTATGAACCTCTGGAACCTCTGGAACCTCATGTTCATTCCATGGAGCCACCTCCTCTATCACGTAGCTCGTATCATCAGCACCATCAACTCCAGCAGCAACAGCAACAAGACCTCCCGTAACAACAGCACCGTCCCGCTTACGCGAACAGGTGCGCAGCCGTTCGCGTAAGCATCCAGTAAATTCGAACTTGGCCAACCCTTTATACACTCGTGCGATCTGGCATTTTCATAGGTATTCATGACCCCTTCAATCCCTGGAATCCCCGTAGATACCCGTAGCTCAGGCACGACCATATAATGCGTGAAGTAAAGTGAAGTCTGAAATATCGCTATTGCTCGATTCCAACCAGTCCATAATCTCAACGGAGACGTATATCTATGGGACGTTCTATGGGACGCGCTCTTTTCCAAGTATTACTTCAGAATTACGAATTCCTTCCTTCCACCTAACTCTATCTCTATCTCTATCTCTCTCTCTCTCTCTCTCTCTCTCTCTCTCTCTCTCTCTCTGGATAAACCGGAAGAAAATCACGAGGATTTGCGAGTGTACCTCAACTAGTCTTTGTCGAGGCCGAATCCTCGGCATCCCTAGGAGACAGGGTCGACTGTAAACAGAAGCCTAATTCCACTCGAAGAGTGCTATCTACCACCCCTTAGGAATGTACTCTAACGAGGGTTGCAGGACAGCACCTTGACCGAGCACTTGGACTGAGAACGACGAGAATGCTTCTGATATTTGACGGATCGAGCAGGAATAGGGAAGAGAAAATGCGAACTAGACCCAAGAAGCAGCGATTGTGCGAGAATGATGAATCCATCGATTGATTGGAGGGAGTAAAGAGTGAGTGTCTCTCTTTATCTTTCCGAGGGTCATGATACAACGGATCCTATAAGCCGGGAGAAGTCGTCCCGAATCTCGGCGGGTTAATAGTTGAACATGTCTGAAGGGATGCTTGGGGCTTCTACTATTATTATTGTTCATTCACCAAGGTACCCAATTCCATGTGAAGTGTGTGTATAGGTATGGTCGGTCAAAGGTATGTAATGTAAATCGTTTCGCACTGAAATATATATATAGTATTTTGCTATTTCAACATATATTTCAGTGTTTTCATGTAAATAAGGCACGTATGGTTCGCTAAGAACTGTATTGTTTGCGATCTGTAGAAGAAATACAGTTTACTGGTTGACGGAGCACAATTTATCCCAGAGAATCTTTTCCATTCGTACAGCCTTCACTTTAACGGGGATGCTTGGAGTCCATATTCTCAGCCCTTCGCCCTCATCCAGTTGAACCTAACCGCAGCATCCGCGCTATCTCGCGCGTCGAGCAGCCAAACAACCAAACAACTAAGGAGCAGCGTCTGTCTTAGAGCGATAATATGTTAATCAGTAAGTTATGATGTTAATTAATGGACAACGATGGGGAAACTGTCGATCGTCAGCCTTAACTCGAGCAACGCCCCCCCCCCCCCCCCCCCCCCCCCCCCCCCCCCCCCCCCCCCCCCCCCCCCCCCCCCCCCCCCCCCCCCCCCCCCCCCCCCCCCCCCCCCCCCCCCCCCCCCCCCCCCCCCCCCC